TTAAATGATATAAACCACATATTTCTTATCAAAGAAGGAAACATAACATTCATTTTGAAACACTCCAAAAAAAAAAAATAAGACGCATAAAATGAGATAGAGGGAGTAATAAAGTAATGAACTAAGTCAAAAGGCACAATGGCAAAAGTTACTTTATATTCACATGATTGCATATATTTAAATAAAAATAGTACATACTCCGTATATAAATATGAAATAATTTTGAAATATATATGATGGTAACTTTAGTGATTCTAGTAACTTTAGTAAAATGTGATTATGATGGTCTACATATGTTACATCGTGCTGACTATATATAGAACTTACTCGTGGTAATTTATAGTCACTTTTTATTCATGGATATTTATTAGTACTCCCTCCGTCCCGCTATTAACTTCCTACTTTTCTTTTTGGGCCGTCCCAAAATAATCTTCTTATTTCCCTAAATGGAAAGTTATCCTACATCAAAACAGTGTCAAACAGTGCAAAACAGTGCAAAACAGTGCCAAATAGTGTCTAAACAGTGCCAAACAGTGTCTAAACAGTGCCAGACAGTGTCTAAACAGTAAAGTCAAATTTAATTCCTAAATATGTGTGTAGGTCAAAGTAGGAACTTAATAGAGGGACGGAGGGAGTATTATTTTAGGAAACCCCTCTATAAATATTAACCAAAAGTAAAGTAAAAATCATAAGTATTGTTTGAAATTGTTTCTAGAGAACATTGTGGAATTAAATAACCAATGATGATAACTTCAAAAGCATTTTTTTCTAGCATTTAAAAACGTCATAAGCAGGGACGGATCCAGGAATTCAGTTCAAGGGGGGCGAATTTTTTTCATTAGTGTAGGAGGTCAAGAATTTTCCGCTAGTGTAGCAGAGCGAAAATTTTCCGCTAGTGTAGTGGGGCGAATTTTTTTGATAGTGTAGTGGGGCGAAACTTTTTCGCAGTGTAGGACTCTGCGGCTAGTTTATGTTCAAAAAAATCCATGAGTCAATGCACGGTGACATTTAATCTATTACATTCAAATTTTAAACAATGAAAAAGTAACATTGTTTCAATAATTCTAAGTGCTCTATAAAATTTTAAAGTGCTCTATTAAAAAAATCTAAGTGCTCTATAACATTATTTGAAAATAAGAAAAGATATAACATTTTATCAAAATATTTGAAGGTAAAGAGTTTAAAAGGTACACATGAACCGAAGCTTTTTGAATAACTTCTGCTTTGTTTAACCACATGATCTCATCAGATTAAAGAATCGGGTTTTGAATTGCAATTTTTATCTATGAAGGAGGATATTCGTGGATGACGAGGAGTTTTCTTAATATTACAATAGTATGTATGAGATTATTAGTTTTAGAGTAATATGATACGTAATATTGTTAATTCATGTATAAATGATGCATATTATATTTGTATTAATGCTAAAATAAGTTATAATTTATTATCTATGCACTTATGACTCATAAGTGCATAATAAACCCCCATGAGAGTATGAGACTAGTGAATCAGCAATGCTTGAATTAGTCAAGTAAGATTTTTTTTACGACCCTAAAAACGCTAGCATATAAAGTGGTCATAATCAATGATACGGAGTATGATTTTTTTCATCTCAATTTGCAATATTGAAATTGTGATATAAAATTAAAAGGCCATAACTCCTCTACAATTGTATTCGACAACCTACGCTAATGATTTGAATAAATAGTTCACTCACATAAAAAGAGCAAATACATAGTATTCGGCATAAATGAAAAAAGCACACATAATAACATAAACAAATAAATATTGACCTAAAAAACAATAAAATATTTTTTGACCCAAAAAAATATTATTGGCCTGCGCCGCGCACAGCCCGTCAAGATTTTCGATTCGAAACAAACCATTTACCAAACGATTACATCAAATTTATATGATTCACAGTTCACAACGAGTCAACGACTATACAAAGCTCGTGAAAAGAAATTCTACGTATTGATTTGGCTAGGATTGAGTTGCATATTTGGGGTCAAAATCATTTTAGATGGCCCAGGCCACTACGCATGGGGAGAATGGAATCGTGGCCTCACCCACCAGAGTAATATGGAGTTGGCGTACGTTTGACTTTTGAATCATTGTATGCTCGGTATGGATTCTATGGTGCACCCCTACTTACTCGATGTGGTATCCGCGTACTCGATACGTATCCGATGTTGATACTCATTGATGGGTTTCATGTACGTATTGAGTCTGCATCCGAAATTTAATAAAAGTATTGGGCTTAATTTTAAAAATATTGATGCTTCCGATACTCGTATCCGCGAAACCAATACGCGTATCTGACCCTATAAATCCCATTTCATACACCAAATGACGAAAATTTAGTAGCCACCCGAGCGACCATGCACAAGATGTGGAACATTGATAAAGATGGTTTCGGAAGTATAAAAAATAATGAAATACTATAATTTGTCATTTTATCGTTTGATGAGCTTTAATTAAAACAAGACTTAGATGTAAGTGCAAATAGAGAACAAAAAGATGTTATTTGAATTTAAATCGAAATATCAGTACTTTAGCCTAATCTTTGAAATTTTATTATAATAGTCAATTTTTTGTACTGTTATTATTTTATTTATGAACCCCCAAATTATATATATTTTCAAATTATACCCTATATTTTTATTATTTATAAATATACTCCCATACCCGTATCCTATAATTTTTGAAATTGTCGTATCGTCGTACCCGTATTCGCGTATCGGCGTATCCGTATCCGTGCAACATAGTATGCATTCAATATTTGCTTCATTCTTCCAAAATGTTGAATTTCCAAAAGCCCCCCCCCCCCCCATCTCCACAAGACTTTTGAAAGGTTGTCACGATGACTCAGCTGGTCCAATGGTGGTAAACCTTGTACCCGTGTGCACCAGAGCTCCAGCTCAGCACACAGGAGCTGTAACCTCCACACGGCCGCTGCGGGCTTCGATCCTTGGTCATTCTTCCAATTTCCCACCACTCAACCAACTGAGCTACTCGTACAGGTTTCAATATTTGTTTCATGAAAACTGAGAATATGAGTCATTTTAAATTGGGCTGGGCAAAAAAAAACAATTACGTTTTTTCATTCTGGAATGTTCCGGACCACTTCCGGTTATGTTCCGAAATTGTCCCGTTATAGTTAGGACACATTATTTTTGTCTCCTGAAATTGAACCCTTTCAAAATAGAATGTGATCAGGACAGATGAAATGTGTCTCGTTCTGTTCCGTTGTCCCGCTTCAAAATAATAGTAATAGTATTTTTATTTTGGTAAGCCAAATACTTATTAGTAACTACTAAACGACAACTCGGTAATAACCCATGTTTATGTGCTTCTGTTTTGAGCATTATTTACTTTGAAATATCTAACTATCTTTTTTCTCCAAGTAAGGGAATTTGAATTTTACTAAGATTGCACACAAGGGTGTGAAACTCAATGGAGTGAGTTTCAGCCCTGATTACTCCAGGCTCCCCCCAGCCCCTTCCCCCAGACCCTCCTGGAGTAAAAAAAAAATACTAAGATTGCACTTCTTTACACATCTATCATGTTTATAGAATATTTTTAATACATTATTTAAGATTTGATGTATACGTTTTTCAATGCATAAAATTATACTACATTCATCCCTTATAGCTTTGTCATCTTTGATTTTCGAGTCAAAAGTGATATACTTTGACAAATGAGCTTGATTACTACAATTTTGTGGAAGTTATAAATTTTACACTTTCATGAAGTATTTTCTGCAAATAAGATTTTCATATAATTTTATATTACAGTTCACTTCCAATAAAAATATATCATTGGTCAAATTAAAGTTAATTTGATTGCCAAAAAAACAAAGATGACAAAATTTTAAGGGACATAAAAAGTATTATATTGTTAGGCTTTGGATGTTATATTATTGACACGAGATTTCATCCTAAAAGGTCAACCGGATAGGAGGAATAGTCCAAAGTCTTATATAGTGTTTTATTGTTCTAAAAATAGTGTTTTGACTTCATTTGCAATGTATTAAGGGGGTAAATCTCAAGTTCAATCCCTGTCAACTGCGATGAGGCATTACGATTTAAAACCAAATCGTAAAACCAGAACCTCATTGGCTATTTGTCAGCTTGTGATTAAAACCAAATTTACATTCTTCCAGTTAGGGTTGTTTATCAGGCGGGTTGGATCGGGTTTGCTATATTTTTTGGGCCTACCTGATTTGTTCAGGTTGGCTATATTAACCATCTCGTGGTATGCAATATAAGTTGGTAAACCATACATGATCGGGTCAGCTAGGGTATTAAAAAAACTATCACTTCAGGTTACATTTTTAATGTGGGCAACCAATGTAAGCAATTTGAAACTCGATTAACTTATTTCCAAAATGCACAAACAAATACAAGTATCTTTTATAAGCAAAAACATTGGGTAAAAGTATTAAAACATCATTCTGTAAAGGAAGTTCATTTAGAAGCAAACGTAAATATATAACAATCACCTAGTTAAAATGATAAATGATTAATTATAAATCCTATTATCATAAAGTCCTAAATAGATCACAATGTTCTTAAATTGAAATTATCCAAAGAAAACCTTGTAGCATAATAATAGCAAAATGAACATTCGGCTGGGTCGGCTACTATCGGGTTTGGAAATTCAATTCCGCAACTCTACTCATTAGGTGCAGGTTCATACATATTTAACTCATGAATATTTTTCAAAATCAAATACCCGATTAAGAAGAGTCGGGTAGGGTTGGGTCGAACGGGTTATGTGGGTTCGTGTTATTTTTGTGCAGCCCTACTTTCGGTTAATTGTCGGGCCAGTGCTAGAGTACCCTCAATTATGGAGTCATTGGAGTGTCATCTTTTTTTAAGTTTCTTGTATTCTTATATTATTGATTTATTTATTATGCTACCTATATATGGTGCAAGCTAAGAGACCAAGATCGATCGAATTCGAAAGCAAATGAGGTATATATAGTACTGTCATCTTGCGGTCTATAAAGAGTGTAATACCAAGTCCATCCCAGATGTTTATTAATTCCAGATGGATTTTAATGAACAAAAATTGAACTAAACAATTCCGGGTAACAAAGTTTGTTTGTTAATCATATGGTAATGGTAATTGATCAATATATTCAAAACTCTATGTACCACCGTTCGATCAAGTTTATACTTTAAATTAAATAAAAAATTCCATCCTCATCATCATCATCAAAACCTTTGGGAGACTGACACGTGGCGACGCTTGAGATGAGGTGGCACGATGGCGATCAGTCCACCTAGGGGTGGTCTCATCTTTGACCTATAACTCATCTCATCGTACGGTCGGCGGTAGAACTTCAAAAACGGCACGAACGACTCACGTGACCTGTCAGCCCGGCTGACGTGGCACTCCCTTTTGAAAAACAAAGCCGGCGACTGGAAGAAAGACAGCCTGGCAGCCCTCTGATGTGGAGTCGTCGTGGAATCAAACTCCTGCTGACTCTTTCGCGGCAACGGCGTGGATGGAAAGAACCCCATCTTGGCCGTCCCCGTGCCGCCGCGTGGCGTCCTGGCCAGCGGGGACGCGAATGACATGGACCGACCGTTGAGGGGGGAGATGACTGGACCGAGCTTGGCCGCTGACGTGTCGGTGAAGGTGAGATTCCAAGGCTTGAGGGAATCGAAATGGCGGGAAACCGTGAAGGTGAATCTGGAGGAAGAGCAGGGGCCAATCTGGGCCGTTGATGAAGGGGTGCTGCTGAATCTGTGGGACGCAGCTTTGGGATAGGCGTTGAAGTCGCTAAACTCCAAAGGATCTTCGAAGTCAATGGAAGATACCGCCATGGTCAACGGTGCAAGCTCAACAAATGACTTTACCCCCTGTTCCATCAACACATGAGTGGTTGTCACGAATAAGCCGTACCATTTTGCATGATTGAAAATTTGAACTTTCATTTATTGTTTTTGAATTTAAACTTTATTAAGGCCCTGAAATTGCGGAAGTTATGAATATCTGCTCGATTATATCTATGAACCAATATAGAAGTCTCTATTCTTTCATGTCAACAACTTCCTCCAAATAAACAACATTTTCCACCGAATGCATTCATTGTCAATCATTTAATCACTCAAAGTCTAAATTTTAAAAACATTATGATCTCAATAAATGAACTCAAATAATGTAATTATTTCTGTAAATAAAAGTTTAAGAACTTGATGATTCTGTTTTTCGGCTTATCAAACTTATTAATTTTGATTTTAAGATTAGAGTTATTATTTTCTGAATGTATTGACTGAAATTATTGTAAAAGATCATTTTAGTTATTTGCCATGTGATTTTTCGTTGTTTCATTAAGAAAATATAATTTAGATATAATTTTTTCTTAAATCGAATTAATCAATTCAGTCATTTCAATGAGAATCCATAAAAGTTGAGTACAATTAGTCAATATAAGTGATTTGAGTAACCAAACGGATTCTAACAATAGGAATAGTATTGTTGTTTTGATTTCCTTTTGGTACGTTATGAAAATAGAGTATGATTTATACCTTTTATATAATTTTCTTGATAATGTTGAATATTGTAATAAGTCGTATTTTTATGCTACAAACTTAAATTTGTTCTCAAATCAATAAAGGTATAAATTTCAAATTGTACCTAATCCTTTCTTGAAACCATCATACTAATTAGCCAAATTTTGCTATTGCATTATGACACTTTGGCCTTTTCCGGTTTTTTAACTCCATTTTTTTTTTATTAAGAAATCTACAGAGTACAAATTATGATGTAAAGTTAAATTAAGATATTAAGATGTACTAGTATTTATTAAGATGATGAATGGATCAAAACACTTCAATACAACATGAGCGTTCCATGTGAAGTTTCTATTCATGATTTAGCTATCATTTTAACTTAGTTCTATTCTTTGATTTGATGTATCAAACATTTAGCATAGTTAAATTGAATTTTTAAATGAAACTAGGTTTCAAGCCCGTGCGATGCACGGGCAATACATAATTTAGCTAATTTTCAATTTGTTTTTTTGGAATTATATATAATATGATGCAAAAGCAAAATAAATTTAGTCTAAATATAGTGTTCGTTTGATAATACTAAAATTGGTGAAATCAGCTTATTTTACTAAAACTGATTAAATTCTGACTGAATGGACTGAATAGGCAGAATATCCTGAATTATAAAAAAAAATACTCCATTTGTGAAATAAAGAAAAAATTATATGAAAAATATTTAAATGTTCTTCCACATAAGCATCTCAACTAATCATAATTATTGTGAACCCGATTTTAAAGAATTCACATAGAAGCTTCTTCATTAATCTCACGCCCACTAAATTACTTTATTAAACACCTCAAAATATATTCTTTCATATTCCTCATTCAACTTGATATGAAATATGGAGTACATACGATTTACTCATTATTAAAATGTACAAAAAATGGAGTATTTTTAATTTGTGACATTGAAAACGATTTTTAATTGTTATGAACGCCTGGATTACTTTATTGAGCATTCCAAAATAATATTTTTTTAATATTTCTCATTCAACTTGGTATGATATACGAAGTACATGTTTTTAAATTTTAATAGTGAAATCTAACATTTACTCATTATTTCGTCACATTAAAAACTCCATTAACAAGGATGCTTTTAGTTGAATTAAAATTTACGGGTTTGATTTGGTCGGAAGTAATAGGATCTGGTAGATGTCTGTTTTACATTTTATGTGTTCTATTATTATTATTATTAAAGTTTGATATGATCTGATCTAGTATAGGCATGAAATCAATCTAATTAAAAACATCCTAAGATGTAAACATACAAAGATTTCCTAATCTGGATTAGGAATCTATTTCAAAAGTGATGTCATATTTAAATTGTAGTTGTAAAAATAAACAAATGAAATAAAAAGTACTCCGTATAAAAATAATCAAATAATTTTTACTCCATGCTTGTAAAAAGTAGTACTCCGTATAAAAGTTGTGGTTTAATAATTATTAATTTTTGTGGTTCCACTTAATGAATTTAATAATTATCAAATACGGAGTATGTAATATATAGGTTTTGATAAAGTTAGTTACCAAATAAGGTGGATTTTTATCATAAAATCTTTTGTTTCCATATCAATATTAAATCAAAAATAGAATCTAATAAAATAAATAAAAGGTACGTATTAAAAAAAGTACCTAGATTGATTTATGTGGCAGGATTAAATGGAGAAATCTATTTAAAAAGTACGTATATATGATGGAGTATTAGAAAGGTACGTATTAAATGGAGTATTAAAAAAACTAAATACTAATTGTTATATATGATGGATGACATGGCAGGATTAGGTGGCGCTTTGTATGCTCTTAAAAAGTTCCTCTTTTATATATATATATTTTAGCATTGTTTCTATATGAATAGTGTTCTAATCTAAAAGTGTGCAAGGTACTTTACATATAATTTCTTCATTAAAAGTTAAAACCCCTTGCCACTCATTAACACTCTTTTTTTTAAATACTCATTAACACTCTCGCAGGAAAACGTTTACAAATAAAAAGTATAAAAAGGTGCGTTGGGAAAAGTTTATTTATGCAGATAAGTTTTAAAAACGTATATACAAAAAGGAAAAAGATAAAATGAATTGGGCAATTTGTTTGAACTTATAGATTGGCTACTGCGTAATAATGATTGGTTAACCATTTAAGTTATTAAGAAATATATGTGCTGAAATATGAGAAGTTTAATTACCTTCCAAAGATAAGAGAAGAGAGATGGAGGGTCAATAACAAAGGCCTTGTAAAGGCGAGAAGGGTAGTAATCGGCGACCACCTTGAGAGCTGCCAACAGTATGTTCAGAAAAGCTGAGGCAGACCTGAAAAAGCCTGCAATTTTCACCCCAACCCAAAATTACTTATAAATAAATGCTTCAACTAACAAACTAAATATCCCCCAACAATAATTACCATCATCAAGCGTAATAATCCTTCGCCCATTGGTTCGTTTTTTGAGCTTGGATTTATTTTGTAACCGAATAAACAAGTCTAATGATACCATGGGAGATCACTGCAAAGAATGACGGATTGACACACATTTGGCACAGATTTAACGATGAATTCGTGTCAAACAACTCGTGTCAAGGTGTTTTTGGCACAGATTTGACCTGTCAAACCCGTATTTTTTTGTAGCGGATGAATTGTATGTTTGTTTTCTTACTTAACATGTCTTTTTCCTTTTTCCATGTATTCATACTTAGCATCCATTAATCAGATGTTAAAAAGTACTCCCTCCGTTCCACAAAGAAAGTCACGGTTTGACTTCTCTAGAATTAAGATAATAAATTGACTTTACTGTAGAAAACACTGTTTAGACACTATTTGGCACTGTTTAGACACTGTTGTGCACTGTTCAGACACTGTTTGACACTGTTTTGATGTAGAATTCTTTGCCAAATAAAGAAATAAGGGAAGTGTGACTTTGGTTTTGAAACATCCGAAAAAGGAAAATGTGACTTTGTTTGTGAAACGGAGGGAGTATTAAACTTTTTGATATCTAATAAATAAATGTCAAATGTGAATACATACAAAAGCTTGGACTTCATTTAGAACAAAAAATGCACCTATAATCAAGGTTTTGTTTCTAATAAGTTATCGTTCATTGTAATGCAAGTAGTGTGACATTATTCCGTACTCAATTTCTCACAACTAAGGTGAGGGCAATTAATCCAATTATGCAAAGAAAGTGTTTAGTGAGAAATTAAGGACTGATTAAAGTATTAAACCTCTACCACTTCATTGGTTCATTCTCTAAACCTCAAAATAATCTATTGCTTCAAAAAGAGAGAAAAAGAAAAGCATACACGGGGAATGACAACTAATGCCCCTACATTGGAGCAAACATTCTCAATCCCGAAAGGTACACTCCTTAAGGGCAGTCCCAGCAAAGTCTGAAAAGTCACTGCCAGAAGACTGCAAGTTTTCCAGACACCACTAGGCTGTAGATATAATTATGAGCCAATGGTTACCATTCTTTCTTGTTTGTCACTTTGTCTAAACAGAATTTTAGGATGCCGAGTAATTAATGTTATGTACTTCAGAAAGGATTTAACATTGTTGATATAGACACTTATAAAACACGTTTTATAGATAAGTTTTTCCAGTCAACGAACATAGATAAGTAATAAAAGGTGTCCCTCTAAAGAAAAAACAATATCACAATAGTGTTGGGACTAAGTCTATATATTGACATATTGTTGATGTTGTGACAAACTAATAGTGTTATATATTCCGTACTATGTTTTGCCAAAACATGAGTTCAAAACACCATCTTTTAATACAAAAAAGAGTGCTTAAAGAGTTTAGAAACGGTTTGTGTATACTTTTCGAAATATAAATGTATAATTTCCCGACCGTTTCCGTACTTCATAGCATATTATATACATTAAATTTCATGCACACAGTCATGGACATTTGTCCAAAGTATTGAGCACATCAGTGACCATAAATGAGCAAACCAATGTCTATGAAAGGCAATCATTTCTTTGTGAAGAACTCACATTTATATTTTTAGATGAAATTCTTCACACAACCATAATTTATTTATGGCCTAACTTCATAGGTAATAATTGTCTATGGCCCTTTGACATTGTGTATTTGTGTGTATAAACTGTTCAGTGCTCAAAGCAACATGTGTACAAATTTTATTTGCAAAGGAAATTATTGAGATGAGTTGCTTTTGGTTTTTGTAATGATATATCATTACTCATTACAAGTTGAAAATAAATAGTAAAACTGTGTAGGTTTAAAACACTGCCATTTAAAATGAATCTTTTCTATTAGTAATTTCAGGGTAATCCATTACTCTTACCCTTGAAATGACTGAGAAATATGTAACATTGTTTTATAATATTGGGAAAAAGAAAAGTAATATATGCATACTAGGCATCAGTTTGACTTTGGTAATTACAGGCTGAGCAAAGGTAAATTGTTTTGAGGAAATACATGTGGTGCTGGGGTATTACAGACTGATACAAGTTCCTGGGAAAAGCCCAGAATGGGAATGTCCATTAACTACTGGAGTCTACTTCAGCAACCCAGAGAAAGCTGACCTCTACAGTTACTGGTGTTTGGAGGGAAATCAATATTCAAAACATCCTTTTGTACCCCTTGAGTGTTTTAGTTATCATGTTGAGCAAATCAGGGATACATTTGTCAAAAAAAAAAAAAAAAAAAACTAATACATTTGTCATTTCTCAAACTAAGTGTACTAGGGATAAAGAACTATTCAAAATATCATCTTGAATCCTGTCCCCACTAATACTTTACCAGATTTAATAGTAAGTTAATCAAGGATAATAGTGTCATTTGAAATTGTATAGTACTTACTGGCATCAAAGAGGATCACAAACTGCTCAACATGTCTTGCCATTGTTTGAATAGCAACCTCCATCGTAAAGGCCAACATCTGAGTAAACCTGCACAAATTTAAAATTATTAATTAATAATTTCTTGTAAGTTAACAAAACCCGGAATTTGAATATTGAATTCAATCTTCATACATTTTCTGTGAATGGAATTTCTGGTAATCCTGTCTGATCCTGAAAATCTGTTTTTTATAACATTTCAAATAACAATAAATCAATCAGTTTTCTCAAGAAACTAGATATATATATACATCAAAGAATGATAACTAGTAAATACACTCCATAACAGTAATTAAGGTAATATACCATAACAGGCCTAGAGTTATCATCATGACCAGCAACATAAGCCACACCTTCTGCAAGTTCTGCTGAAAAATCATCTGCCATAAGACGATCTGCAAAAAATGCATCCATATATTTTTAACATAACATTATATTATAATCCAAATATATAATTCCACTGAATTTACATTTTAAAGACTCTGTTTTTTCCCTCTTTCATATTTTGAATAAAACAGAGAAAGTACCTATTCCCAAAGACTCCCTCCAAGCAAGACAGCCTCTCAGTTGCTTAGCAGCTTTCTTCACATTGTCCCCTTTGGCTTTCAAAAACCTCTCTACACAAACCTTACTGCAGAATTTTTCCTGCTCATAATGAAAACATTACTTCCCAGAAAAACAAACCGTTATTAAAAAAACAGAGTGAATCGAGTTTAAGGTGTTTTTAGTACCTGTTTAAGAGACAGGGGAGTTTGTTTCCTGATGATATCAAGAACAGCATGAACTCTCTGTTCATTCTCGTTCAAAAACTGATCTTTCTTCCCCATTTTTTAGAAGAAAAAAAAATTACAGAGCAAAAACAAACGGCTAGCAGATTCTGGGTCTGATAGAAAGTGGAGAAATGGTTTAAATCTCCTCCCTTTTAAAGGAATTGAAACAAAGAATCTGCTGAAATCTTAATTTTCACGCGACCATTTCAAACTGTGATTAGCAGAAACAAAGACATGAAAAAGTGGTGGCTTCTAGAGAGAAGAAAGGGTTCTGGGTTCTGAGAGTGATGACATAAAGATGGTGAATTTATATCTGCGGAGGAGAAGACGGAAGCCGTTAAGTGGAAGGGTCAATGGATGAACAGTTCAAAAGGCGAAATTATGACGGCTCAAAAGCAAGGCGTGACGGAAAACGTTGGCCCGGTCCCACGAACTCCAATTATTTTGATTTCCTTTTCAACCCGGGTGCTTTGAATTGGGGATGGAAGTGGAATATTGCTTCTTTGAGGAAAAACAAATAATGTTTGGTTGTATGTTGGATAGTGATGGATCTAACACTCGGTTGCAACTAGATATTTTATTGTATTTCTTGGTTTCAGATTAACAAATTGTACTACTTGGGATTGACTACAAGAGTTCGAAAATTAAAAAAACAAGTGTTATTTTTTATTCCTTAAACAAGAGTTTTTGTTATTACATTTTGGTAATAATGTCATGTTTAAAGGCTAGTGATGTTTATACATGACGACAAATTTGTAGAACGGTAATAAAATATAGGGAAGTTAAATAAAAAGATCATGTTTTAGAATTTTTAAATATTTTTACTCTTATTTCACGAAATTTCTATTATTCTCTGAATTAGAGTGTCATTATACGGAGTATATGACATCAAAAATTCTTTTTGTTGACGTCCAATCTATGCATGCCCTTGTACACACTCTTTTTTATTTATGTACGAGCAGTTCTATTATTTGGAAATTGAATTGTACGTATCACAGACGTTATTTTGTCTTTGTCACACACAATATTTTTTTTTATTGTATCACTCATATTTCCTTTTTAAAAACTGAAAGAGTTATTTGTGCGTAGACAAAATGAGGGTGTATGGTTTTGTCAAATTTCTATTTTGATTGTCACACTAACATTATTACTTTCCACTTTTAATAAAGAGTTTATTATTCTTACTAATTTTCTCTGATCTGAATAAATCGCAATTACATGGTATTTACTTTATTATTATGTGTGTCATTTAATTTGAAAAAATTGTAAAAGACCGAGAGTGTATTAAATACCCTTAAATATAATGATTGTTGTTCCATAAAAATGAATATATATTCAGAATCTAACCGGTAAGAGCATCTACAATGGTTAGCTAAACATGTGGTAGCTTTGCTTGCCACATCATTTTTTTTGTAGCTAATCCATGTGTTAGTCCAATAGTTAGCCATATTGCTTGCATCTTAAATAGGGCTGGGTCCGAAAAACCGAAAACCGAAAACCGAATCAAATTAAACCGAACCGCGACTAAATAAAACCGAAACCGATTGTAAAAAACCGAACTGAACCGTAGTAGTTTGGTTCAGTTTTGGTTTTTACCCTTCAAAACCGAACCGAACCGAACAAACCGAATTAAAATAATATATGAAATTTTATTTGTTAAATGTAAGAATTAATCTTGATATCATCAATAATCTTTGAATTTCTTGTGCTAGAGAAATAATGTTTGTGCTTTGTTTAACTTAGTTTAGTTTATAAATGCATTTACACATTCATTGTCGATAATAATGTAGATATATTAATCTATTATGTCTTCTATGTATGTATGTTGCAATTTATTGCATGATTATATGTTTTTACTAGTTATTAGCAGTAATTAACTTTAATTTTTGTGTAACCTGTTTTTTTTTTCAATTTAAATTTTTTATATTGATATTACAAATAAATATTCATCTCAACCATATCGCATAGGACGTATGTATTCATAAACTTTTTTCAAACTAGTCACAACTCACAAATAATGTAAATTAAGCATATATATACACTTTTATCTCTCCCAACTATTGCTGGTCCGCTGAAAATAATCCCAACTATTGATTATTTTTGTATAATCCCAACTATATAGACTATCCGCCAATAATGGTCCATGACCATATATTACCTCTATAAAAAGTGAATTTTAAATAGAAATTAAGCGTAAAAATTAAAAGTTGAGATTATTTATATGGATTACTTGTTATATCTCATCTCATCCACTTTAGAAACTACAAGAATTTATTTATAGGGACCATTATTGGCGGAAGGTCCCTAAAGTTGGGATTATTCTGTAATAATCAATAGTTGGGATTATTATGAGCGGACCGCCAATAGTTGGGATTATTACTATCAATTTTTCCTATTTGTTTATTATTATTTCCTATATTTGTTCAAGTATTCTTGCATTTTATGTAATATGTTTGATCCCTCCAACTTTTATATCAATTTTAAATCAAATGACGATTCTTTAGTAAAAAACCGAAAAAACCGAAACCGAACCGAAACAAACCGAACCGATCAAACCGTGGTTCCAAGTTTTGGAGTGTAAAATGGAACCGAAACTGAACCGAACTTTAACTTTGGTTCCGTATTTGGTTTTAGGTCAAAACCGAACCGAAAGAACCGAACCCACCCCTAATCTTAAATAGGCTCCACAAATCAATCAATGAATTGATTTATTAATTTAATTTAATTTTTGAAATATTTTCAAATCTATTAAAAAGTTGAATTGACAAGGAAACGTAACCATACTTTTAACTAATGGATCAAGTTGGTCGTCAACTATGATTTTGACCAGACATTAATCTAGCGCCCAACATTAAGAACTCGTTTGGTAACACTGAAATCAGTTGAATCGCCTGATTCTGCTGAAATGTATGAAGTTCTGGCTAAAGTGGCTGATTCTGCTTATTTATGAAAAAGTTATATTTAAAATATATTTTATTAAAAAAATAAAGAAAAAATAATATGAAAAATAACTAAATGGTCATCTACGGTAACTTCAACCAATACAACCAGAAAAGTATCTTCAACTTTACTTTTTCTTATAACTAGGCTATACCCTCTGCAACAGTAATACACCAAATTTAATATTTCTGATAATCTTATGATGATTCAAAGCAGTGAAACAAAAGTAAGGATGTAGAAATTTACTGATATTCGTGCTCCTAAGTTTCGATGGCTAAAGTTCTTAATCTCGCTGCATATAAATACTGAGTTTAGTGGGTTAAAACCGCACCGATAAACTGCATTTTTTGTTCGTGCAGGTTGATATGTAACTGTCCCATGATGTGCACTTCGCATGCCCTATTGTAGTGCCACGTGGTGGCTTCAGAGATGAGCCAGGATTTTTTTGATCGTGCTTTTGTAGAATCTGTGTTTAATAATCAAATGACACATGTAATCTTTAATGGCCAGATCTGTCCTTTGGTTGTCACGATTGAGCTTTGATATATATAAAGATTACGCAATTCAACGCGTGAAATAAAAAATTACGTGTTTCATTAAAAAGTTCGCTGATAAGCCTGATAAGTCGAAAACAGAGTCATCAAACGGGCTCTAAGACAGCAAGGTTGAAAATGCAAATTATTAAAATTATTACAATAACATGTATTTTGTTAAGTAAAAGAATAAGGAATATCACATTTGACAACACATACATACAGAAAAATATCAACTTTTACTTAAATATTTCATGAGTAATACTTGTTGTATGGATTTTCATAGTCTTCCATTTGAACACCTTACACATGAAAAATAAGAGTACGTAGTGACAAAAGAGATGGAGTAGGCGTTGAGAAAATATTGTATAACTAAATTTTCAAAGCATTATCTACATATAATAACTGTATGAGATTAAAATTACTTTTAATTAAATTAATATATCAATTATAAATAAATTAAATATATTTGTTAATTACCATTTTAAATCAAGTTTATCTCCTTTCTAGCAATTAGCTTGTTTTGGATAATTTGTTTGCCCAAGCTAGAAGGATAGATGCACTCCAATGGTAGGCAAGTAGTTTGGAAATTGCAAGCAAGTTTCTAGAAGGAACCATTGGAGATGCTCTAATAGATCCAAATAGATTAATAATACTTGGAATCAAAATTAAACATATACTTCAAGATAGTTATATGTATAACATTTTATTATACTCCCTCCGTCCCATTGAACTTTGCCAACTTTCTCTTTTTTGTTGTCCCAAAAAACTTTGTCATTTTCCTATTAAAGAAAAATAATTTGTGGTTTTACACATTTCTCTCTCCTCTGCACAAATCTCAACCACACAGTTTTTACTATTCTTATTTCTCACCTATACTTGGCAAAATCCATCATAGGTAGTATTGTTTTAACGTTGAATATATAAAGAATAGTGCGGAATCAGAACATAATAAAGGATAGGGCCCCTAGTGGATTTTTAACTTAAGGAGTGTTTGCAACTGCTTCTGCTTAAAAAAAGCACTTTTGGAGATGTAAGGAAAAAGTGATTAGTAGGAAAAGTTGATAGTGTTTGAGAAAAAAGTGATTTTGAAAAGTAAAAGTTGATAGTGTTTGGTAAAATAAGTGCTTTTTGTGTAATAGAAAGGGGAAAAGCACTTTTCACACGCAAGCCGAGAAAAAGTAAAAATTGGTAGTGTTTGATAAATAAGTGCTTTTTTAAACCAAAAGTTGAGAAGTGCTTTTTTTAGTGTGATCTGATATGGCATGGGATTGAAAATAGTTCAAGAGAAAACATCCAACATTTTTACCAATAAGCCACAAAAAATATCAATAGAAAATTTTATGTTAGAGATGCATACACTATTACAAAAAGTTTGACATACCACGTCACTTTTACATCAACGTAATTACAATAGGCACACAATCACTTGTTTTTAAAGTTTGTTTGTAAGTTTATTTGTACTAATAGCAATTTCCAAAAACAATGAATTGTGTAATAATATTTAATGAATTTTATACCATTAAATATGGATTGGTAATAATACTCCCTCCGTCCCAATTTGTTTTGCAAAGTCAACATTTTTTTGTCAACCAATAATAAAAGTCAACCCTCCCTATGGATAATTAATTCACTTTTTAATAATTACTCCGTAAAATTTATATATTCAAAAACTACATAAAAATCTCTTCAAAGTTGTAAACTTCAAATTAGAAAATAATTAAAAATTGACATTGTAATTAAGTGAACAAAACAAGACTGTTTGACTAAGAAAAGTCAAATTGCAACTCTTTTTTGGATGGAGGTAGTATGTGATATAGATTGGTTATGATATGTAATTTATTAGCAATA